AGCAACAATAGCAAACTACTATAATTTGTATGAACACAAATATCTGGTACTTCTTTTAAAGCAAGGTCATGCCCTCAACCTGAGAAAGATTCATTTACTTTTTGAAAAGGACTGCAGAATAGAGCTTTAATCTTATGTAGCACGTAAGGGATTTTATTCCCCTGGCACCTAGGAAAAGAATCTTTTGTGGTGAAAGTGCTGATTTGGGACTTTGAGAATGTGCTTGGTTAAGTGCATTGCAAATGAGATGCACACTGTGGCAATGACAAGTCTTTTGCAAGTTTCACTGGCAAGAAGAGAACAACTGTTTTCCTTCATAAAAAAGAGACCAGTGAGGATTATATGACTGAGCTGAGGGAGACAGGAGAGGGGAAGGATCTGGTATCAAGGTATAGGGGTGTGAGGCAAAGAGACCATTTCCTGGGTACTGTATGAATGAAATGGCAGAAGACCCATGTTGAAATCACCCACAATTTCTGTTGATACAGAATAATTTCTGTTAATTCATCAACTTTTTGCTGAGTCAATAATCCCAAAATTTCAGTGACTTAAACAACAAACATTTCTTACTTACAGTTATATACTATGGCTCTTCTGGACCTGTCAGGGGCTGTGAATGAATTATGGGTTTGTTTGAGCCATAACACAGGAGGGTGGTTACTTTTCTGAGATGTCTCAGTGAAATTCCACCGATTGGAGACTGCTCAGACTATGCAGCAACAAGGAAGTAGAGAAGGTGGGCCATAACCTGCTAAGCCCCACCAAGCTGTCTTTGCCATCTTCTTCCTGTTTCCCTCAGGAAGTCCTTCACTCTGAATCCCATTGGTGTTCCTATCCATTTAAATAGAGTGCCTGTTGTTAGTTCCAGTCTTCATTGCTGGATCATCTCATTGTGCTCCTGCTTTTCACTTATTTCTGTGTCTTGTCTTTATTCATTAAATTTCTTATACCTTTAATATTTCTAATCTGACTGTCCTATTGTTCAAGGGAAACTGAGTAAATGTCATGTGGATTGTGATACAACCCAACCTATCACATAGGTTTGAACTCATATCTGTACCATATATGTCCACTGAGACTCAGGCTTAAGAAGCAGATGCTATCTATGCACACTCATCTCAGGGAAAATGGTAAGAACACAAGAAGGTAGGGGCTTCTGTTAGAAAAGGCAAACTGTCACTTCCACCTGTATTGCTTTGTGTCATGGCAAGTCACATGGGCCAACTAAGCCAGTAGGAAGGAGAAAAGGATCAATATTCTTGCTGAACAATATTCCAATTTATTTTAATTCCATAACACTTACGGAGAGGGGCTCAGAGTAGAACCAGTTAGCATAGAAAGTGGCAAATAGGAGACACTAGGACAACACAAGATGGTAATCTTTATCAAAATTGGAGGGACTTATTCTGGGTGAAAATGCAATTAAAACAAGCTACCACTGTAATCCAGGTAAAAGTATGGTCCCAGGGTTTCTGGAAGACAGCAGTAATCCCAGCGGCTTGGTAGGCTGAGGCAGGAGGATGGCAAGTTCAAAGACAGCCTCAGCAATGGCGAGATACTAAGCAACTCAGTGAGACCCTGTCTGTAAATCAAATGCAAAAAAGGGTTAGGGATACGGCTCAGTGTTTTGAGTGCCCTGAGTTTAATCCCTGGTACCCCTCCACCCTCCAAAAAAGAGAGCAGTGTAGCAACTTACCCAGAGATAAGCTGGTGTCAGCCTATGCAGGCTTCAGTGAGATACCAAAAAGAGAAAATTTTTCTGTACATTTGTGTGATGGAGCTGGGCAGGGTCACCACCATGTTCATAGAATGCTTTGAAAATGAGGAAAAAAATTGCCCTTTCTTTCTTTGACAGACCTGTGTCAATGCACGTGGTTTAACCAACCCCATCTGCTCCCTCTACAAAAGCGTTCTAAATCTGCACAAATTTATAATTCTAATTGGCTAAGAGAAGAGGGGGAGTTAAAGTTTGAGGACTTCAATTATGTAAAAGTACATTTCTTCAAGCTGTCCACATGAGTGGGAAAAGCAATCTATTTACATGGCTGTTAAAAGGAAATATGAATATTCATGTAAAGTTGGATATGTATTAGTTATTTTCTATTATTAAACTTCTGAAAGAAAAGTAAATATGCTTTATTTTATATATTGCCATTCACACTAAAAAGTAATTTACCTTTTGACAATATTCAATTTAAATACTTGAGATAATTTACAAAGAACTGTGTACAGAGGTATTATAATAATGGAGAAACAAAGCTAACAATTTAAACTCAAGTCAAGTATCTGCACTATACCTGCACTACAACAAATGGAATACATAGTTTCCCCAAATGGATAGTCAACACAAACTAAATAATACACAAGATTCTTTTTCTGTCCCATCTAATTGTTTTATTAGACGTCCTATGTCAAAACTGCATCCAGTCTTTACAGCCTTCTTCAAATCTCCTCTACCTCACCAATATTAACCTGAAGGTGAGCCCCATAAATCATCTCTCCCTCTGATTCTTCAGTGTTGTATTGATGTCTCTATTATAAAATTTTGTTATATTTGAGCAAGTTTTGATTGGAATAACCAAAGAAACTCTTCTTTCTCTCAGGCTAGGTTAAAAAAAAAATTTTTTTTCCTTTTTGTTTGAAATTATCCCTGACCCTTTCTAACCTACACTAGGTAGTTTACCACTCCTTCTTATCCACTTTTGGCAGAGGTAAAATTCACTTACCTAGTTGAAAAACCTGGAGCAGACTAATCATTTGCAAACTCACTGAGGACAGAAAACAGAGAAAATCTTTTTCATCTTGGCTCCCCAGCATATGATATGGAATCCAAATCAGGGTTCTCAGTCTCTGTTCTATGGCACGTTGGGCCAATTATCATCATGGGGGGCTGTCCTGTATATTGTAAGGTATTTAGCAATATTTATCCCCAGTCTTGACAAAACAAAAATCTCTCCAGACATTAGCAAATGTATCCTGGGGGAGGGGGAGGCAAACTTTTCCCAATAAGAAACACAGACAGTATGAAAAAAAAAATGTTCAACATCTCTAGTAATTAGAGAAATGCAAATCAAAACTACTCTAAGATTTCATCTCACTCCGGTTAGAATCGCAGTTATCAAAAATTAAACAACAATAAGTATTGACAAGGATGTGGGGAGAAAGGCACACTCATAACATTGTTGGTGGGACTGCAAACTAATGCAACCACTCAGGAAAGCAATATGGAGATTCTTGGAAAACTGGGAATGGAACCACCATTTGACTCAGGTATCCCACTCCTCAGTTAATACTCAAAGAACTTAAAAACAACATACTACAGAGTTGCAGCCACATAGATGTTTGTGGCAGCTCAATTCACAATAGCTAAACTGTGGAATCAACCTAAATGCCCTGCAACAGATGAATGGATAAAGAACTTTGCTTTATATACACAATGGACTATTACTCAGTGTAATAAAGAGAATAAAATTATGGCATTTGCAGGTAAATGGATGGAGTTGGAGTGGATGCT